GTCCTCCTGTGTCTGGCGCTTGTCACTCAGTGCACGCAGTGTTTCTGAAGCTCCAGGCCTCAGCCTGTAGCAGCCCTCCATTCCTCTCCAGGGCCGGACGAACGCCGTTCCGCCGCACGGGCAGACATTTGCTTACCGCTCTCGGCCGACGGGCACCTGGGCTGCCGCCACCTCTTGGCTGCCGTGAATGGCGCTGCCATGGACACGGCTGTCCACACCTCTTTGAGACCCTGCTCTCAGTTCTTCGGGGTGTGTACCCAGAAGTCTTTACGATGGGACAAAGTCACTTTCATGGTCAGATGGAAAACCACAAACGGGTCCAAACTTCAGAGGGCACCCTCTTGGCACACCGCCCTCCCCAGTCTCTTCTTCTAGTCTTCCCTTGCCCGGGAGGTGCTCCTGGGGCTCCTCCTCTCCCCCCCCCCAGGGGCAGGCCCACCCCTAGAGCACGTTCTCCCCCCACCGGGGATTCCTGGGCCACCCCCGCCCCAGCAGCGCCTTCCAAAGTCAGCCCTTCCAGAGGCGACTGCCTGATCTTGGACTTCCAGCCCCTAGAACTGTGAGAAGCAAATGTCTGTGGCTGAAGTCGCCCAGGCTGTGGCACTGGGTTAGGGCAGCCCTCGCTGCCTGAGACTCAGGCTACAGCAAGTGCAGGCAGAAGCCTGAACAACCACTTCTCTACATCTTTGGTCCATGGCAGCCGGCTGGGGACACAGGAGGTGGCATGAGATTTCATGACCCTTCAATACAGGACACCCACCGGGGGTGGGGAGGGGGGGTGCTGCTCTTCCAGGGCCAGGAGTGTGTGTGTGCACCTGTGTATGTGCATGAGCATGCATGTGTGCGCGTGTAGGGGAGTATGTGTGTATATACGAGTGTGCAAGTGTACAGGCATGTATGTGAGCACACAGAGCACACGTGTGTGCATGTGTGTCGAATATGACTGAACAGCCCAGACTTTGGCAAAAGTACTGATGTCACCGTGAGGACAGCACAGCGAGCCTTCTTTTTTTTTTTGAGACAGAGTCTTGCTTTGTTGCCTGGGCTAGAGTGAGTGCCATGGCGTCAGCCTAGCTCACAGCAACCTCAATCTCCTGGGCTCAAGCGATCCTCCTGCCTCAGCCTCCCGAGGAGCTGGGACTACAGGCATGCGCCACCATGCCCGGCTAATTTTCTTCTTCTATATATTAGTTGGCCAATTAATTTCTTTCTATTTCTAGTAGAGACGGGGTCTTGCTCTTGCTCAGGCTGGTTTTGAACTCCTGACCTGGAGCAATCCCGCCTCGGCCTCCCAGAGTGCTGGGATTACAGGCCTGAGTGCCTGGCCTTAGGCCAGTGAGCCTTCTAAGGACAAGACTCCAGGAGGTGGAGCCGGAAAGGGCACCGGTGCCCCAGGGATGAGGAAGTGCAGGAGGAGGGCGGGGCTGGACTGGCTCCTGGGAGGTAATGAGGGCTGGGCGACCTGACATCTCCCACCTTTCCTTCTGCCTGTTGCTGCAGCAGCAGTGGCCGAGGGGAGCCCGTGGGCCTGAACAAAAGGCAATGCATGCACCACACGCCAGAGCACAGGTGAAACCTGAGACCAGCTCTGGGAAATACCAGACACTTCACCCTTCTGTTGCAAACTTCGAAGCAACTAAACCTTCCCTTTATAGCAAAGAGCTTCCGGGGCCTCCCAGCAGATGTTCCTGCCCCGGCTGCTTCCCAACCTGGAACACCTGCCCCTCACTCCTCTGCTTGTCGCTCCAGACACCTGCAAAAGGACCCCTCTGCCAAGAAGCGCCCCAAGTCTTCTGCCAGGTCAGCACAAGCCCACCCCAGGGGCTGAGGCTGCCGAGGGAGCCCGACAGGTCCTGGCACAGAGGGCTGGGGGAGCGTGGCCAAGTCTCCCCACGAGGGGAACCGGGGCGCGTTTCTGTGGTCCGGAGAGATGAGGAGTTTGCCAGGCAGACGGGGTGTCTGGGGAGGAGACTGAAGGTGTGGAGGTGTGAAGCAGCAGGCGCACCAGCCAGGTGAGCTTGTGGGCTGTGAGCCATGTGTACACACGGGTGTACATGTGTGTATGCACATGTGTATATGGTTTGTGCATGCGCACGGGGTCAGGGTTCAGGTGGGGGAGGCCTACAGCCAGCGGTGCCCTCCCTGCACCTGGGCTGCCACACCAGGCCACACGGTGCGGCCCCCCCCCAAGGCACCGAGGAGCAGGGAGAGGCCGGGGCCGGGCACCCCCTGCCTGGCCGGGTGACCCCTGGAGGCGCCTGCCCGCAGCTGGGAGCCGCTGAGATGGGGGAAGCGGGCCAGGAATGAGGGGGAATGGTCAGACCCAGGGACCCCAGGGTGGAGGGGGACGAGGCATCCGGGGGACAGGCCACCCCAGTGCTGGGTCCCTGGTCCTCTGGGTGAGAGGGGGAGGCCGGGCTGCCCCGGCGGCGGTGCCCACGGCGCCCTGAACCGCTCCCCTTCACACGGGAGGGCTAGTGGTGCCTCACAGCGGGGCTCCCGGGCCAGGGGTTGGGAATCCCTCCTGCCCCTGAGCCCGTGGGGGATAAAATTCAGGGGTCTGTGAACTCCTTGGAAAAACAATGACATCTCTATGTCCCCAACCGCTGAGCGGAAGTTAGCAGAGCCCAATGGCATAAGCAGAATGTCGGCTCGTTGGCGACAGACTCAGACAGGCTGGAACAGAGGTCGGGATACCTGGACCTGCTGCCGACGCCCTCATGACACCAAAGCCCGTCCCTGCTGGGTGGGCGTGAGATCTGGTTATTACCGTGTCGACACAGATGTGACTCTGCTACCACACACACGTGTCTCGAAAGCATGAAGCAATACAATGGGCCTCCTCCGTCACACTATGTACTACCCGTATGCTCAAAACACCCTTCTGGGGAGGCACCTGTGGCTCCCCGAGGCCCGAGGGAGTCGGGGTGTGGAGCAGGGGGACCCCAAGATGTCGCATGGGGGGCGCCGAGCAGGAGTTATCGGCCACGGGTTTCCCCAGCTCAGAGAATGTTTGTAGTAAGAGTTTTTTTGTTCCCATCAGCTCTTCCCCTGCTGTGTGGGTGACTCCTGTCCCCTCCCACCCACCAGCAAGCCGGGGCTCACGGGAGTGTCCTCTGCTGACAGAGGGGCTTTCTGCCCGAGAGCTTTGGCCTGATGCGCTGTTGGTTGACGCCGTTTATCAGGACTTGTCATCTTAGCTTTTGGGGCGTCTGCGGCAGCCAGTGCTGGGCGTAGGTGACAGCACCCACACTTCCCCCACGGAGCCCCGTGCGTGGCAGAAATGCAGACTCAGGTGAGCAGAGGGAGCCGGGGCCAGGGCCAGTGTACAAGAGACACCCCCTCGCACACACACAGAATTAAACGCACAAGAGACAGAAATAAGACGGTTTCCTGAGCCCCAGCCCTGGAGACCCAGAGGAACGAGCCCACTGGAGACGCCCTGCGTTGCTAGTGGCAGACCCACCGGAACTAACAAATTAACGCATATTTCACTTGTGTGACAGATACTGGGGGGTTGGCTCGGGCTGCAGCTGGGGGTTCAGCGGGAGAGGGAGGCAGGAGCCGCCTGCTGGCCTCCTGGGGGTGGGGGGACAATTAACAAGGAAGTGTCTGCAGAGCTCCTGGGAGCTCACGAAGCTAAAACCTCTCGGCCGGCCTGGCCAGCCCAGGTTCCCTCCAAGGCCATGTCGTATGTGCACGACTCCACAGCTGGTTCAACCACCGTCCCCGTCCCCTCTGCTTCTGCAGAGAACCCAGCTCCTGCATGGTGTCGGCCTCTGGCCCCCAAATGCTGCTTGCATCCCCGAATCTCAGTGACAAGTTCTGGGAAGAGTGAGCCAGGAAACCGGACGCCCGGCACGGGTGGGGACAGGGGTGGGACCTGGGTGGGGGAGGGTGGGGCCACAGGAATGACATTGTGGGCCGCGGTGAGCTTGCGACTTGCCTGAGCATCCTGGTGGCCGAAGTGAGCGTGGCCAGTGACATGGCCTTCAGGGTAAGGTGCAGTTCTTGGAGGGGACACCTGTGTCTCACCTGGGGCCAAAGCGCGCACGTCTGTAGCAGCTGGCCTCCTATCCCGTGTTTCCCCTGGCCCTGGGTTTTCACTGGTCGTTTACATATGCGTGTAAGCTCCGCCTCCTGCCCTGACCACTGCTTCACGCTGCCCGTCACGCCCACTCTCGCCCTGGCCAGCGCTTTCGTTTGCTCAGAGCACCTGCCCCACCCCCACAGAGAGTAACTCCACGAGAGGGCTTTCAGGGGAGCTGGGCGGGTGGGGGTCAGCAGGAGGACCGGGTGCAGAAAGCCTCCCCAGTGGGAGGACACCCACACACCCTCTTCTCTGGAGGTCACACAGACCCTTGGCCCTTTACAATGGGGGCCCAGAGACGCCTCCCCCAGGCTGAGCTTCTGCCCTGAGTGCTGGCTGCCCTTGGTGCCAGGCTGGCCTTCAGCGGCTCTCAGCTCACCAGGGGCAGGGAGCAGCCCCTGCCTGGCTGCAGCCACAAGGGAACCTCCTGACCCCGAGGGCTCAGGGAACCCCCACCTGGGGGCAGCGAGGCTGCAGAGGTGGCCGAGGTAGGTGTTAGATCACCCCTCCTGGCCCAGGTGGCCTCCAGCAGGTCACCCCCACCCCGCCTGGCTCCTCTCCAGCACCCGGGGCTCAGGGGGTCATGTGCCACCTCCCCGGCTTTAGGGGCTCTAACACCAGCGGCACGCCCAGAGCCGGACCCCTAGCAGCAGGGCCTGTGACCGGCACCCAGCCCCCGGACCCTGGTGTCCCAGCTCTTCCTCCAGGACCCTCCGTCAGGGGCAGGGAAAGCCAAGCAGGAAGCTAGCTGCGGCTGGATAACAGGGCAGGCCCCCTCCGCCCCGAGTCGGCCCACGGGCCCTGGGAACCTGTCCCCCCCAGGAGTGGGGAGGCCCCTCGAGGCAGGGACCGAGGGTGGGCACCCTGGGGAGACGTCCGTGGGGCCTGCACTGCACACAGGAGCCTGGGAGCCAGGACGACAGGTTTTATTCCACCCCCCACCCTGCCCCCACGGCCACCCAGGCAGAGGCAGGACTTCTGGGACAGCCACACGCCCAGGTGGGGGTGCGCTGGAAGGCAGGTGCGCCGCAGGCCGGCCGTTCCGGGGCCCGGCACGGGCAGAACACACGGATTCACGTTCTCCGTGGGTGGGTGTGCACACGGCAGGGCTGGGGCAGCAGCGTGCGGCCCACCTGCCCACACCACGAGGCTGCCCTGCACACCTGGGTGACGCCGGCTCAGTCGCCCCCAGAACGGCCCCGGGCTGAGGCGGGGAGGCCGATGTTCCCAGCACAGACCTGGGAGCATAAAGTGACCGGGGCCAGGGCCAGGGCCGGCCAGGACGGGACAAGGTATAAAAGTCTCGCACGCACACACGGGGACACGCACTCCTGGGGGCCAGAGAAGACGTGCGGCCGGCCCCAGGCCCTCACACGACGCTCTGCCGGCCCCCGGGGCCCTCGAAGTCGGACACCCCAGAGCCGCGGCCCCGGCCGAAGTCAATGAAAATGCCCTCGGAGTCCGAGTCCACAGACTCCAGGATCTGGTCCACCAGGTTCTCGGGGCTGGACGTGGGCGGGGAGCCGCGCGCCGGGCCCGGGCTGTGCTCGGGGGGCTGGCCGGGCGGGCACAGTCTGCTGGGGCAGGGCCCCGAGCGGGGTGCCGGGGAGGGGCGGAAGGCCCCCGCGGGGCCCTGGCCGGGCGAGTCGGAGAAGCCCTGGGTGTCGGGGCAGGACGTCATCTCGGACACGGAGTGCCGGCGGATGCTCGTGCCGCCGGCCGCGGCGCCCTCCGCCTCGTGCTCGGCCACGGGGTTCAGCAGCGGCGTGTTGTAGCTCTTGGAGCGCACCACCGGGTTCTTGGCCAGCACGTCGCCCGAGCGGGAGCGGCGCAGGAGGCGCTTCTCTGCAGGGAGAGGCACGGTCACGGGCTGGGCAGGGCGGCCACGCGCCCGCCTGCTCCTTCACGCCCGCTCGCCCTGGCGCCCGCGGGGAAGGCCTGACTGACGCAGAGCCTGGCCCGGCCCGCCGGGCACCCACGGGGACTCGGGTCCCGGCTCTGACGCCAGGTCAGGTCCTAGTGACCCCTCGATGGGCAGGGCCTCGAGTCACCTGCCCAGGTTGGAATCTGCACCCTGCCAGTGACCTGTATATGACCCCAGGTAAGTTACTGGTACGTACTCCCTCCGTGCCTCAGTTTCCCCATCGGTGGAAGCCTACGGGTCTTGGCGCTTGCCAGGCGCCAGCACCTTCCCAGGCGGACACGGCCCCTGCCCTGAGAGCTGGTCTCCCGGTGTCCGTGTGTTGCGTGGGCAAGCCACAGGGTCAGGTCGCGGCCACGCTGGGGGCAGGTGGCGGAGGCCCCCCACGTAAGGCCAGGCTGGGAGTCTATCCTGAGGGGCAGCTTTTGGCGGGCCTCAATGGCCACTGGGTGGAGAGTATCAGGCTGTAGGGGATGAGGGCAGACGCAGGGACCCAGGTAGGAGGCCCCATCGGTCATCTGGGCGGGAGGCAGTGGTCCTGGTGGCAGAGGCCAGGCCCACGCGGGGCACTGCAGTCCCAACCATGACCACCAGGTGGCAGTGCTGAGCGCAGCAAGGGCCTTGAGGGTCTTCCCTGGCCTGGGAGGCCATGGGGTCCGTCCTGCCCAGCTGGGGCTCAGAGTCCCCTCGGCTGCAGGGGCCCTGCCTGAGCTGGGACACACTGGCAGGACACATTGGGTTTTATGCCAGCAGGTGGGCACAGAGGTGCCACTCTGCATGGAGGGCATGTTCCCAAGTGGCCCTTATGCCACCTGTCCCCTTGGCTTGGGATGTCCCTGTCCCTCAGTGCAATGCCACCTTGGGTACTCGCTGGTCTGCTTCCCCTGTGGGACCACAGCCAGTGGGGGTGAGGCTGGGCACACAGTAGGTGCTCAGGTGACGCTGCTGAATGGACTAACAGGCTCTATCAAGGGAGCAACATGGCGGCTCCTGCTGGATGGGCCAGGCGGCCCCGGACGCCCCCCGCCCCCCCCCCGGGCCTGCCCCGCCCACCCAGGACCCCACTGGCCATCCTCTGTCCCTGCAGGAGTCCTCGGGCTCCGGCATCTGCCCGTGGACAAGGCCCTGTCTGGCCGACCTCTGGTCGCGGAGCACAGATGTGACCCCCGGGGAACAGTGGCCTCGTGGGGCTGCCTGCCCAGCCCCCACCCTGCTGTCCAGGCCAGCGCACAGCAGGGCTGGCGGACACTCAGGGCGGGAGTGCCGCACGCCTGAGAAGCCAATCCCGAGCGGGAGGCTGGCTCCGCCACCCCTGCCCCAGCCCGGGCGGACCCCTACCCAGGATGCAGGAGTGGGTGAAGGGCCCCTCGCTGGAGTAGAGGCCGTAGGTGCCCAGGTACGGCGACACCACCTTCTGGATCAGCGTCTCCAGGCGCAGGTAGTCCTCCGTCACGCCCCTGGTCTCGTGCACCCCCTGCAAGAGCACGAGGGAGGGTCACACGCCCGAGCCTGCCGGCCCCCAGCCCCCTCCCCCACTCCCAGGGGGTCTCTGCCCCCACGCAGGGCCCACAGCACCCCCCCAGCCCCTCTCAGAGCGTGTGGCCCGAGTCATTGGTGCTCCACACCCTCGGTGGCCGCCTGCCGCACACAGCAGCCATCAGGGGCCTGGGAGACCTCGATGGCTCAGGGAAAGGGGCCCTCTGGCCAAACGCCGCCGCTCACCACCCACCCTGCCCTCCCTGCCCCCGGGAGTCCCTGCGCTGGAGTCCTGCCCGTGCTGGGAGACGCCTGCGGACCCCGCCCGGGGATGGCCGCACTGGCTCATCCGCCCCCCCCCCCACGGGCTCCCGGAGGGCACCTAGACAGGCAGCTCGGGCGGGGGCTGTGGTGCCGCCACTCCCCTCCCTGGGACAGGACCCCCGCCCAGGCTGTCGCGTGTGTGGCCACTGACAGCAACCCTGGAGCCCCTCCCAGAGCTGTCCTCGAGGACAGAAGCCATCAGGACAGACGTCGGGGGCCACCATGTGTGGAGCCACAGCCCCAGGCCGACGGCATCCGTGTACAAGGGCCCAGCCTCCTGCCCGCGGGCACGGCCCTGGGCCTGTCCACCCTCCCAGGCACCCGTGTTCTCTCCTGAACCCGCCCTCCTGCCTCTCTCTCCCCGGCAGGTTCCTCCCAGAGGGTCCCTGTCCTAAGTCACGTGCCCATAAAGCCTCGTCTCGGGCTCTGCCTTGGACCTCGGACGCGCCCCGGCCCCGGGTCCGATCCCCTGTCCCCCAGCGCCCACCTGCAGCACCAGCAGCATCTGCACGATGGCCGGGGGCACGCGGGCGTGGGCCCGGGCCAGCGCGTCCTCCAGCTTCACGCTGAGGGTGATGGCGTTCCGGAAGTGCAGCAGGGCCAGCTGGCGCACCGACGGCTCCTTGCCCTGCGGACACAGAACCGCCCTGCCGCGTCACCTGGGCCTAGTCCCCTGCCCCCAGATGCCGGGGAACGGACCTGCTGACCCCCAGGCCCCCTGCACCCCCCGGTGACCCTGCCCCAAGGACACAGGGCCCCTTCAGTTTCCTCTGGCAGGGGAAGGGTCACCGCCAAACACAGCCCCGGGCCTCACTGCTGAGCTTTACAGGGAGGCAGCCGGCCTTATTTGCATCCTGTGTGTTTAGGAAACAGGTTCCGAGAGGCCCAGGGAAGGCCAGGCGCAGCCAGCCCAGGCCACGGCAGGCGCACTCGTCCCCGGGAGCCTCCTTCCCCGGAGCAAGGCCAGGGTGGGGGTGCCACCGCCCTGGGTCCCAGGTGGCACAGGCTCCTCAGGCTCCCCCTCCACCCTCCCCAGGCTGGGCCGCTCACCTGCACCGGGTAGAAGATGGCCTGCAGCGTGGGCAGCACGTCGCTGAAGAAGAAGTCCCAGGTCTCGGCCAGAGAGTCCAGCAGCTTCTGTCCTGTGGGCACGGGGGGCCGTCACCACCTGGCCCCAAGAGGCTCCGGCAGACGCTTCCGCTCTCCCAGGACGGGCCGGGGGCGGCGGGAGGGGGCCGGCCCGGGCTCTGGGATCCACAGGCACCAGCCTGAGGCCACATCCAGCCCAGTCACTGGCAGCTGAGGCCCCAGGCCTTCCGCTTAACTTCAGCTTCTCCGGTTGGGAAACGGGACGGTAACGGGGCCGACCTCCCAGAGCTGGCGGCACTGGGCACTCGGCACAGGGTCCGGTGCCCGCAGATGCCAGGTGCTAGTTCCTGTCGCCCACGAGCCCCGCACTCGTGTGCCCGCACAGCAGCTCCTGCTCGCCCTGCTCTCGCCGCGCCCTCCAACAGCCCTGCCAAGCAGCGAGCGCCCGCCCGCCAACATAGCACCGACTCGGCGCCGGGCCTCGTGCTGGGCGGCGGGGACCCAGCTGAGCCCAAGCGTCCCCAGGCCCGTCACACCACAGGGAGCGGGACACCAAGTGGCAGCGACAAGGACAGTGGCCGGGGTGGCCTCCACTGAGCAGAGAAAGACTCAGCTTCTGAGAAAAGGGTCTACCATGGTCAGTGACCCCCAGGGTCGGGGGCCAGCCCAGGCTGCCCGTGGTAAGATCCGGGGAGCCACGAGGACCACGTCCAAGGAAGGATGGTGGGGAGCGGGTCAGGCAGGGAGGGCTTCCTGGAGGAGGTGCTATCCATGCTGGACACGGGGGCTGGGCTTGCCAGACTGACGGCACGTGGCGGCACATCTTGGCGTGTGAACCTCTGAGCAGACAGACAAGCTCAGCGGGCATTTCTGCCAGCCCGGGAGATGAGGGCAGCCCAAGTGCCCCGCGCTGGCTCTGGGCTCCACCAGGAGACACAGCACGCGGAGCCCTCGGCCTCTCTGCCTGGATGGCGCAGAGAAGCTGGGTGTGGGCTGCCGGCCCGCGGCTGAGCAGGCCCCGGCACGCGTCCCCAAGGCCTCTGCTGCCGGGAGGGGCCCCACCTGGGAGCCAGGCTAGCCAGCGAGGAGGGGAGAGTCGCGCACGCCGGCCACCTCGCCTGCAGGTCAGGCCAGGACTGCCTGGAGGTTTCCATGGGAACGCTGAGGCCAGACAAGGGCCTTTTCCTCACGTTTCTTGGGACCCGCGCCCCTCCCCAAAAGCCAGGTCTGCGTGGGTCCCAGCACTGCCGGCAGGGCTGGCCAGGGGCAGCCCTGAGTGTGGCCCGGCGGCCTCCCAGGTGGCCCACACCTGGCGCTGGAGGGGCCGGAGGCGGGCAGGAATGCCTGGGCTGGGCGGGCGCTCACTGCCCCGTGGAACGGCGCCCGCACACAAAGTCCTTCAGTTCCCTGACGGCGCGGCGAGAAGAAAGGCGGCTTAGTCCCTGCCGGCCGTGGGGTGGCCTGGGCGCCCGCCAGGCCAGCGTTCTGCTGAGCACAGGCCGTTCTCCGGCCCACGGGGCGGACACGCCGCGGAGAGCAGACGCCGTAAAACACAGAGGCCGCACTGGCCAGGAGGGGTGGCCTCGTCTGCTGGCCGCGCTCGCCGCCAGGGACCGTGCTCCAGGCAGAGTGGCAGGGCTGCCAGGGTCAGCGAGTCAGGGGCCCGGGGTCAGGCCCTGCTTCCCGCCACGCTGGGGGCCCCAGGGAAGTCCCCGAGCCGAGACTTGGGGCAGCCCCTCTGCACATGGGCGCGATGAGCGCCCACGCGGGCAGGGTGCAAGCCGCAATGGAACTGCCCCGGCTCTGCTCCGGGGGCGCGGCTGGGTGTGCGTGTGCGCCGTGCCGTGCGTGGGTCGTGCCCACAGCGGCGGAGCTGGGCCCCGCGGGCAGCCAGCACACGTGGTGGTCGCGGCCCCGGGGCCGGTCACAGTGCGTCCCTCTCCCCTCCTCCGCTCAGGGCTGAGACAGGAGGGAACCGGGCTGACCTGGCTCAAGTCTCACAACCCACAAAGACCAAGGGACGGTGAGGACCGCAGGGCAGTGACAGAGGCCACGGCAGAGGCTCCGTGAGTGGGGCCGAGGGTGTCTGGCCGGGCGATGGCCGTGGCACACGGAGGCCAGTATGTGAAGCTGCGATTTGGTCGCACGACCTAGACCAGGCTCAGGTTCCCTGGCAGGCGAGAGACGCACGTCCCAGGCCGGGGGCCGGAGAGGACCATGGGCCCCTCCTCAGAGCTCCCGAGTTTCTGGCTGCCAACGAGTGACCCTGGTGGCAGCGGAGCCGATTTCCGTAAACCGCCACACGGAGACGTCAAACCACAGCCTCAGGCGTGGTCCAGCCTTCACCTCTTCCTGGGGGCCCTCTACCCCCAGACTGGTCCTCCAAGCTTCCCACTCCCAGGAACCGCTCTGCTCGGGGGTCTAAGGCCTCCCTGGAGGCTGGAGAGAAGGGGCAGGTGGCGAGGTCCGGGGCTGCCCACGAGGGGCCCCCACCCCGCCTCCATCCACACCCTCCCTGGCTGCGAGCAGTCTCCAGAAGTCCCACTGGGACATACAACTGGGTGGGGAGCAGGGAAGGGAAGTTCTAAGGCCACCCTTCAGGGTACGGAGTCAGCGGCATGGGGACCAAAGGGGACCAGCCACCCACATTTTGAGGCCCTGCTTCGGAGCCACCACCTCCATGCAGCCCTCCCTGATTGCCAAAGTGGAATTAGCCCTTCCCTTCCCCTTGACATTCATTGCACTGCACTGTCACCATCTGGTTTATCTCTGGGTTCCCGGAGGCCACCTGCGCCTGACAGGTAGTGAGCCCTACTGTGGACAGAGCCCATCCCACCCCACGGTGCTAAGGTGGGGCACTGAGGCCAGGGAGGAAAGGCTGTGGGAATTGGAGGCCAGCGCTCCCACTCCCAGCCTGGAGCTGCAGGCCTGTCCCGGAGGCCGGGAGGTCAGGAAGGGCCAGCGAGGCAGAGGGTGGGGCTGAGCCCCGGGCGGGGCTTGCCCGGCCGCCCTCGGCCCCTTCCGGCCCCTTCCGCCAGGCAGGCGCTCACCGCTGCCCGGGCAGAGCTCCACACGCCACACAAAGCCCCTCTCCCCCATCCCGCTCCCCTGCGCCGGAGCTGGTGGGCGGCGCAGGCACCCGGGAATGTGCCGAGTCAGGAGGGGCGAGGGAGGGCACCCTCCTCGATGCCAAGTGCCACGGCCTCAGCTGACAGGCTGCCTCCTCCAGGAAGCCATCCTGGGTCTCCGGCTGCCTGTGCCGCCCCTCTGGGGCTGACGGTTCTCACAGCCTCCTGCTCTTGCCGCGGCCGGCCCACCCACTGCGCGCAGCACGGGTGCCAGAGGAGCACGCCACGCCGCCAGGCCTCAGTGTCCCCTCTGTGAACCGGGGAGCACCCCTTCTCCCAGGGTCAGAGCAAGGCCTCACAGGGACCTGGAGCAGCAGAGCGCAGAGTGTGGGCTCGAGCCTCAGTTCCCCACTTTGCACCCTGGCTCTGCCACGGAGCAGCCACGTGGCCTAGGCCACACGCGGGACCTCTCGGTGCCTTTCCCTCCCCGCGTGCTCAGTGGGGATGGTAATCGTGGCTCCCGCACAGGGTTGCCGGGGATCAAACGAGACAGCAGAGAGAGTCCGGCGCAGAGCGTGCACCTGCCCGGTACCAGGCGCATAGTAGGTGCTCAACCAACGGTCATGGAGCCTGAACCCAGCACAGGGCTTGGCGGGCAGCAGGCCCCGAGCGGGGGAGATCGGTTAGAGCTGAGCCGTCCCCTCACCTGACCTTCCCCCACACCGGTTCACTCCCACGAGGACGCCCGCATTTCGGCTGTTGCCCCAAACCGCTCAGACCTGGGAGCCCAGGACCCGGCAGGTGCCCAAGGCCTCCGCCCACCTGCTGAGGCCTGTGCGGGGCAGAGAGGCAAGCAGGAACCTCGGGGCCCCTGGAAGGGCAAAGGGTTCGAATGCTGCCTCTCCCCTGACGTGCCGTGTGGCGCGGACAGACCGCCTGTCATTACTGTGTTGAACCCACTTGGGAACAACGACCTGAAGGCCGCCTAGGGTGGGTGTGATCCTTGAAAGAGAAAACTCACCGAAACTCCCTCCACCACGCTCAGGTCAGCAGCCGGGAACGCCTGCCCCTCCATCTGTGAGCCCCGGGGCCACCTCTGCCCTCCGAGCCTCAAAACCCAGACCGGGGTCCCCCTAGGCCTCTGGGTGGGACCACCCAGGGACAGAAGCCCCATGGGCATGGGCATGGGTCCCCTCCCCCAGAGGCGGGGACCTTCCTGGCTCTGGCAGGTTTGGGCAGACCCTCTCCCGAGGCCCTACTGTGGGTGCAGATCTCGGCCCTGCTCCGCCAGGCTGCGTTTGGTCCTGGCCAGAGCCGCATCCCCGCCCGGAGTGCTGGGGACAGAGAGGCCGGGCCGTGCCACGACTCCCAGCAGCCACGCCGGCACGCAGCCCGGCCCCGGCCACAGGCCGCCACACTCACCCTCGTAGAAGCGGATCTTGTCCCGGAGGATCACCATGCCTTTGGTCAGCAGCTGGTTCTGCAGGGACACACAGAGGTGCCATCACTGTCCTGTGGGTGCCCTGGGGTGTCCCCAGGCAGCAGGGACCCCAGAGTTCACCAGGCAGCCGAGGCCCAGAGGGGGGAGTGACGTGATGTAGTGAGGTCCCACAGCCCGACAGCGTCGAGCTGGAGCCTCAGCTCACCCTGGGAGGCCACGCCTGGCCTGACCTGGGGCTGTCACGCAGAGGAGGTGGTGGCCATGGGGACATCCTGGAGCCCCCCGAGCTGGGGGCCTTGCACATCTCACGGTGAAGAAAGGACTTTGAGGCAAGAGGGGGCCTGCGGGCCACCGCCACACCGCGTGGACCCTGCACGTGCACCCTGGCCGGGCACGGACGTGCGGTCTCAGCCCTGCCCCCAGCGGCCGAGAGGCGGCAACAACCCGAGCGTCCACCAACGCAGGGCAGACGCATAAAGGGTGGCCTGTCCACGCAGCGGGACATTACTCAGCCGCGGAGGAATGAAGTGCTGACGCATGCTCCGGCCGGGACGAGCCCCGCCGGCGTCGCGCTGGGTGAGAGGAGCCAGACACGAGCGGCCGCGCGCCGTACGACTGCGACCCCGCAGACGTGAGATCACGCCAAGATCACGCCTGGGGCGGGCAGACGCGGGGGCGGGCAGACGCGGAGGCGGGAAGTGGACAGCGGCCGCTGTCCTCGTGCTGGGGAGGGCGGGGGAGGGGAGCATCCTTTCGGTACGACGAGAAGTTCTGGAATTGGATGGTGGCGATGGTCGCACAACTTTGTGGATACCCTGAAAACTGCTAAATTGTACCCTTTGATGGGGGACAGTATGGCATATGAGTTATGCCTCGATGAAGCTGTTAAATAATAGTGACTTTTTTTTTTTTTTTTGAGACAGAGTCTCACTGTTGCCCAGGCTAGAGTGCCGTGGCGTCAGCCTAGCTCACAGCAACCTCAACTCCTGGGCTCAAGCGATCCTCCTGCCTCGGCCTCCCGAGGAGCTGGGACTACAGGCATGCGCCACCATGCCCGGTTAATTTTTTCTACATATATTAGTTGTCCAATTAATTTCTTTCTATTTATAGTAGAGACGGGTCTCGCTCTTGCTCAGGCTGGTTTCGAACTCCTGACCTCGAGCAATCTGCCCGCCTCGGCCTCCCAGAGTGCTGGGATTACAGGCGTGAGCCACCGCGCCCGGCCAATAATAGTAATTTTTAACCCCCCAAACCATGCGCTCTGAGGAACCCCAGGCCCACCCTCGGCCCACCCTCTGGGCAGGGCGGCGCCCCACTCTGAGCCTGCGCAGGGCAGGGTCTGCAGGGGCCGCATGGCTCACAGTGCCCCGCCCCTGCCGTGTGACCTCAGGCAGGTCCCTCCACCGCTCCGAGCCCCAGGCTCCATGCGTCCCCTGCCCGTGCAGGCCTGTGGCCGGGTGGGGAGCAACAGATGCTAAGTGCGGCAGTGCCCTGGACACAGGCTTGGCGGACGCTCACGCCACAGCGACGGTGTCACCGCGAGGCGCAGGGCGCAGGGCTGCGCAGACGACACAGACACGGCGTCTGGGATCCCGGACCGACGTTCTGGGAGGAGGGGAATGGGCACCAGAACTCCGGGTCCATACGTGCCCAGCGCAGCGCTAAGACGTCACCTGTGCCTTACGATCATTAACCTTCGCAGCGCTCCACGTAGGCTGTGTGGGGAAACTGAGTCACGGAGCGGTGAGTCCTCGGAACCCCAGGCGGACAGCGGTGGAGCCAGGGCCCCGTGCCCACCGAGAGCAGGTGCCTCCCCCTCCTTTCGGGCCCCCGCGGGAGGCGCAGCCAGCGTGGCCGGCGGCGCGCCCCACCCACCTGCAGGTACTCCGTGAAGAAGGACCCCAGCTCCGTCTTCAGCAGCTGCCTGCGGGCGGGAGGGGAAAGAGAGTGAGTCAGAGAGCTCACGGCAGCATGGCGGCCTGGGCCCGGGACTGGGGTGGGGCCTCCTGGGCGGCAGGAGACCAACCTGCTCAGCCCAAAGGTTGGGACAGTCCCACCCATCCAGAGAGCAGGGCCCGGTCGGGTGGCTCCATATCTGGGCCTCCACGGTCCAGAGTTGTGGCCCACCAAGTTGGTCCCCGCGCCCATTTCACAGATGAGGAAGCTGAGGGGTCCCCACGGGGAAAGGCAGGCGGCCGTGTCTCATGCTTTCTCCAGCAGACGCCTGGCAGGGCTGGGCCTGCAACGGCCAGCTGCCCCCTTCCACCCGCCCAAATCCTGACCCCCGTGGAGCTTCTTCCGGGTGTTTCCTGCTTTACTCCAGAGAACCCCATTCAGTCTTCACCCACGGCGCTGATCAGGGCTCCCCTCTCACAGGGGGGGCAAGAGAGGCTCACGGAGGTCCAGGGACTGGTTCAAGACCACGCAGGACATGGCCGAGTTCGGACCTGACCCTCGCCCTTTGCATTCGATGCTGACAATCCTGCACATCCGGCGCTGAGAGCAGGGAGCGCCACCTTCCACGCCAACCACAGACCACAACCACACAGGCACCGTCAGTGCCGAGCTTCTCACAGCCCACGGCAGACCAGTAGGGGTCACATGGGACGCTGGGGAGGGGCCGCCCCCGAGGACGGACGCCCCGGCAGCACCCTGCAGGACAACACGGGCAGCCCCGGCCACTGTGCGGCGTGGGGGGGGGGGCGCGGAGGCCTTCACGACCGACCACAGCCAGGGCACCCAGAGCCTCAGATTCTAAGGTGGGTCACCCCGGGTGTCCTTCAGGGACAATGCCATCCAAAGCCACCAAGATAAAAAGAGACTTGACTTGGGTCCTTAACCTGGCAGCCCTCTGCAACCCAGAGGGACCTACGCTCTGGGATTTTTCCCTGTGTCTAAAGACCTGCAATGCGCGCACACCTCTGTGCCTCAGAAGAAAAGCGACCAAAGGAAGGAACCAGGAGACGGCGAGAGGACTGGACCACGCCCGAACTGAAACCTCTGGCGCTTCAGGGACACGACCGAGACAGCGGAAAAGCCAACTCGCCAAACAGGAGGAAAGACTCACACATCAGTGTCAGATGAGGGTCCAGATCCAGAAAACGTAAAGAATGCTTAAAACTCAACCACAAAAACACAAACGGCCCAATCAAGATATGGACAAAGGATGTGACCAGACATTTCTCCAAAGCAGATACACAAACGGCCAACGAACCCATGGAAAGATGCTCAGGATGCTCGGTCACCAGGGAAACGCGAATCGGAACCGCAGGGAGGCACGCTGCACGCTCACTGGTGTGGTCGCAGCGAAAACTGGACAGTGACAAGTGCTGCCGAGAATGCAGAGCAACCGACCCCCCAGCTCCCGCTAACCCCCCCACGCTGACCCTCCCCCTGCCCCCGCCGACCCCCCCACCATCCCCACTGAACATCCACACTGCTTGCACTGCGGGAGCACAGAGCAGTGCAGCTACCGTGGAAACGCGGCAGGCAGGTGCTCTCAGAGCTGACACAGTGACCAGGTGACCCGGCAACTCCGCTCCCAGGTACACGCGAGAGCTGACACAGTGACCAGGGGACCCGGCAACTCCGCTCCCAGGTACACGTGAGAGCTGACACAGTGACCAGGTGACCCGGCAACTCCGCTCCCAGGCACACGCGAGAGAAACGAACACACGCCACACGGAAGCTCGCACACAGACGCTCCCAGCAGCATCCCTCGTAGGAGCCAAAAGGCGGAAACAACCCACATGTCCGTCGGCGTGCAGACGTGCACCGTGTGCTCTCCACGCGTGCAGTGGGTTGTCACTTGGTGGTAAAGTGAGCAAAGTACTGAAGCACGCCGCCACACGTATGCACCTGCAGAGCGCTATGCGACGTGAAAGCAGCCCGCCTCGGAAGGCCACGTGCTGCGACCCCACGTACATGACCCCACGTACAACGCCCGGTCAGGCAGACCCACGCGACAGCTGCCTGGCACCCGACTTGCCAGGGCTGCGGGAGCGACAAGGAGCGACTGCTAATGGGACGGACTTTCCTCTCGGGCTGATAAGAATGTTCCGGAAGCGAACAGTGGTGATGGCTGTACAACACTGAATGTGCTAAAAGCCACTGGAGTGCACACTTCAAAAGTGTGAACTTCATGGTATATCAATTATATCTCAATAAACAAAATGTTTATATAGTCAATTATATCTCAATAAATAAAAAGCGTACACACACACACCAGAGTCCTCACTCACTACTCCAGCCCGGGCCCTGCCCACCTGCCTGTGCCTGGCACGTCCGGGGCACCCCCTGGCCCCCAATCCCACTAAGCAGCCTTAAGAACCGAGGGGAACATTCGGAGGCTGGTGCAGCCGATGGCTCCAGTCACAGCCTCTCGTGGGATCAACGCTAGTGACCAGTTCTAGACCAAATCTGCATAGTTGATGCACCCCATTTAACGTGGCCACGTGAGCAAGAGCCGAGTGGGCGGGGGGCTCTGATGACCCACAGGCCCTGGAGCCCGGGGCCTGGGCGCCAGCTCCACCCGCCAGTCCTGAGCAGGCAAACCGCCCGCTCCGCCGCTCTGGGCCTCAGTCTTCTCATCTGTGCAGTGGAGCTGATCCGGCGCCCACCCATGGGGCTGCCGTGAGGAGCGGGTGAGTTTAAGGTACAGAACGCTGCGTGCCCAAGGCTGGCACAGAGAAAGACTTCGTGAAAAAGGCCTTCTTGTTATGACTTAAAGATTTCTAGAATTTAAGTTTTAACTGGTTAAAAAGAAGTTGCCCCAGATAACCCAGCTGCCCAGGAGCTCGAAGCCCCACACGACACCCATTTCTACACGTTCTCGTGGGTGAGGGTCCCTGGCTGGTGAGGGGGGCCTGGGAGCCGGTGGCTTCTCTGTGCCCTGTGCGGCACACGCTCCAGGCACGGTGCCAGCTCCCAGGGGTCAGGCCGGCGGGGCCCGGGGAGAAGAGGCTCGCAGCAAGATCAGGACAGACGCCCGTCCACGCTGCTCAGGCCGGGGGGCCGGGGACCTTAGCCAATGCCGGGGCTGTGCCCGCTGCCGTGCCCATGAATTGAAAACTCCTTCCTTTGCTTGTTGTTCAAACACTCTCCAGATTTTTTTTTTTTTGAGACAGGGTCTTGCTCTTTTGCCCAGGCTGAGGCTGCAGTGCAGCGGCACAATCACAGCTCCATGCAACTGAACTCCCGGGCTCAAGCGATCCTCCTGCCTCAGCCTCCGGAGTAGCTGGGACTACACGCACGCACCATCTCGCTCGGCTTAAATTTTTCTGCAGAGATGGGGTCTCACTGCGTTGCCCAGGCTAGGAGGAGATTCTTCAGGCTTGTCACAAACTCCTGTTTCCCTAATCAGAGGGGTACCAGGAAAATGGGGCTCCTGGGGCCCCACCCTGGCCAGGCCGGATGATCCAGAGCAAAGCAGGATGACCCGAACAAGTGACACATTGGCCTCGGTTTACCCACACGTAAGGGTCCTCTCAGCTCTGCTACACAGGGTGGGAACAGGACACCTACGAATAAAAATCTGGCCCACTGACTCTCATGCCCACCTCCAACAGCCAGGGGAGGTTCACTGCCTGTTTCCCGGGTTCTTCTGACACAGGGACGGGGCTCCGAGGGAAGCGTCACAGAACTGGGACATGCCCCCCTGCAGCAGCTGTGTGACCCTGGACAGATGTCTCGAACTCTCTGAGCTTCTGCCTCCCGCACGACACACACATGCCTGCAGACTCCCTGGGCCCGCCCGGCTCTGGCAGCAGCTGTGGCTGCCGCCCGCCCTCACTGCCTCACCGTCCTCATTTCCCGGCTCTTCGCAGGAAACCAGGGTGCTGGCCGGCTGTAACTGCCTTTCCGGAATGACACTCGTCAAGAGGCAGGTGGGTCCTTCCTCTTTAACAGGATAAATGTCCCTCTTGACGCTGGACAAGGCGGGGCTGGGTGGGTGTTGCCGCAAGGCGCAGCCAGGTCCCACCCAGCTTCCCCTGAAGACCGTCCCCAGCAGGGGTGGCGGCTCGGGGCGCCAGCCGGGGTCAAGCCCCACACGGAAGCTCGGGAAACCCAGCCCGGGCCTTGCGGCCCCTGCTCATGTGGCCTCTGAGACCCTGGCGTGGCTGGTGGGTCATGGCTGGTGGGGCGGTGGCCGCGGCGTTCATGGGCTGGTGGTCGTGGCTGGGGTGGCATGGGGTGGTCTGGACTGGTGTGGCGTGGCTGGTGGTCATGGCTGGGTGGGCCCATGCTGGGTGCGTGCGCGGCGCCTGGTGGCGTGGCTGGCTGGCTAGGTGGCGCGATGCTGTTCGTGCGGTGAGGGCGGCTGGTGTGGCGTGACTGCTTGTGGGCTGTGCTGGTGTTTGTTATGGCGCTGGGGGTCATGGCTGGTGGGCGTGGCTGGGGGGTCATGGCTGGTGGGGTGTGGCTGGGGGGCGTGGCTGGGGGGTTGTGGCCTCCCGCCCGGGCCCGCCTCCCCGCCACTCACCGGACGCCCTCGTTGAGGCTGAAGAGCTCCTGGTCAGGCAGCCCCTTGCGCTGGAAGACGGCGATCACCCCGTTGTGGATGCTGCGGGAGGAAGAGGAGCGTCACGCCCGGGGTCCCCTGCCCCCTGCCCCGGCCCCCCAGCCCCCTCTCCTGCCCGCCCCTCCTGTTCTGCCGGGAATGGGGCACGCAGGACTCACTCTTAGAAGAGCAGGAACGACCGTCCACACCCGTTTAACGCTGTCACCGACCCTGCACCCCCAGCCGGCCCACCTGGAGCCCGGGCCTGTGTCACCAGGTGCCTCCCGGTGACCTGTCCAGGACGTCCCCTGCCCGGGCACACGCTCTGCAGCCAAACCCCGGCGAGCTCAGCTTCCTTCCTGTGCTCGTGAGCCGTCCCCCCGGCCAGCCAACGCCAGGGACCGCCGACTTTCGCCGCCCCGCGTCTGATGTCTCCGGGCCCTTCTCCTCCTCCACGCCACCCTAATTTTCGCTCCACACAGCGTCCCTACCCACGCTGAGCGTCCACGTGCCGGCCCGGGAGGGTAAAAAGTGCGCTCGTGATCACGCCCCCGCCCTGCTCACCAAGACCCGCCACTCGGGAGGGAGCGGGCGGCGTCTCTGCAAAGGACCGAGGTTTCAGGTTTTCTGGGTCCTCCAGTCTCCGCCACCCCTGCGCACCTCGGCTGCCGTGGTGCAGACGGCGTGGACAACACTCCCGGGAACGCCCGGGGCTGTGTTCCAGCAGAATCTTATTCACGAAGAGGAGGGGTGCACGCCGACTCCCCGCGCTGGCGCCTTCCCCACCAGGAGCTCCCAGGTGCCCCGCCAGCCGGCCCCGTGGCCCCCAGCCGCCCTGAGCCCCGCACGCCCTGCGTTACCTGCACCTGCCTCTCCTGCCTGCCTCTCCCCACCTCCAGCCACACAGCTCTCCGGACACCAGCTGTCACCGGGGTTCCCAGCATTTGTCAGCGTGTGCCCACGCGCCGCGTGGGATTAACTTGTCCCCACTGCTATGCGTAAACCCGAGAGTGCAGGGCCCGGTGCTGCTCAGGACCGCGTGCCCAGCCCCGGGCTCGAAGGGGAGGCGTGGGAAGTGTCTGGGGAAAGTTCACCCTCCACTTTCCCTCGGTTCCGTGTCCCAGATCTCTCTGCTGCACCCTCCTCCTCGCCTGCCGGGACCTCGGATTACACCAGCCCCTCCCTGCCTCCCCACTGCCTCCGCCCTTCTGCCGGCCAGAGACGCTTCCCAGGGTCCTGCAGGTGGCCTTCCAGGCTCCTCTGGACCCCGCCCCGCCCCACTCCCGGGCATCCGGAGCTCCAACCCCACAGAGTACTGGACCCTCCACGCGGTGCCACATCTCTGGGTCTTGGCTCCCACTGCCTGCTCTGCCCGGAAGGCCCTTCTCCCTGTCCACAGGGCCAGAGCAGCTGGCTCTCCCTGACCCAGAGCCCGCCCCCTCCAAGAAGCCCTCGGGCCCCTCCCTCCCCGTGCAGACTCCTTTACCAGCACTTCACTGATTCACTTGCCTGAGAGTGGTCGCCACCGGCCACGAGCTCCCCAGGCCGAGAGCCAGATCTGGGTGGCACTGCCACCTTGTACTCGGGACGTGGCTGGGGCTCTGCTGCAATCAGCTGCGCCCTGCTCAGCTCGGAGGGGACGGCGGGCCAGTGCTCCTATCTCCTCGTCGGCTTTCATTATTAACTCTACCCTGTCCTGCGATTGGCTGCCCATCTTGCAGATGAGAAAACTGAGGCCCAGAGAGGCTACGTCCTTTGCAGGAAAGCACAGAGCAGTGTCCCCTCACGGAGCCAGGTCTGGGCAGGGCTTCCTGTCCCTGTACCCTGGAGGCAGCGGGGCAGGGTCACAGGCTCACATCCCAGTGTTCCCTGGGGGCAGTGGGGCAGGGTCACAGGCTCACATCCCAGTGTCCCCTGTGGGCAGTGGGGCAGGGTCACAGGCTCACATCCCAGTGTCCCCTGTGGGCAGCGGGGCAGGGTCACAGGCTCACATCCCAGTGTCCCCTGTGGGCAGTGGGGCAGGGTCACAGGCTCACATCCCAGTGTTCCCTGGGGGCAGTGGGGCAGGGTCACAGGCTCACATCCCAGTGTTCCCTGGGGACATGGAGGCAGGGTCACAGGCTCACATCCCTGTGTCCCTGGGGGCAGTGGGGCAGGGTCACAGGCTCACACCCCAGTGTCCCCTGTGGGCAGTGGGGCAGGGTCACAGGCTCACATCCCTGTGTCCCCTGGGGGCAGCGGGGCAGGGTCACAGGCTCACATCCCTGTGTCCCTGGGGGTAGTGGGGCAGGGTCACAGGCTCACACCCCAGTGTCCCCTGTGGGCAGCGGGGCAGGGTCACAGGCTCACATCCCTGTGTCCCTGGGGGCAGCGGGGCAGGGTCACAGGCTCACATCCCAGTGTCCCCTGGGGACATGGAGGCAGGGTCACAGGCTCACATCCCAGTGTCCCCTGGGGGTAGTGGGGCAGGGTCACAGGCTCACATCCCTGTGTCTCCTGGGGGCAGTGGGGCAGGGTCACAGGCTCACATCCCAGTGTCCCCTGGGGGCAGTGGGGCAGGGTCACAGGCTCACACCCCAGTGTCCCCTGGGGTCAGCGGGGCAGGGTCACAGGCTCACATCCCAGTGTCCCCTGGGGACAGCGGGGCAGGGTCACAGGCTCACATCCCAGTGTCCCCTGTCCAGGCAGGCTCTGAGGCAGTGCGGGCGCGCTTGCTCAGGTCCATT